ATACACCCAGGGGCCAGCAACACAATAATTCGAGGCAGAAGTTGGGGAGGGGGTGCCAAATCAACACATTCCCCTTCTTGCTCCAAGATCTCCCTGTGTTATTTCAGAGCTGAAATGCTGACTCTGCAACCCGGTGCATTTGTGCATCACCACAGAAAGTAGTCCAGAAAGTAGTCCCAGAAAGTACCCTCCCCCCCCCGCCCCTTACATCTGATGGCTCATTTACACAATTTAGAGGAAAATGTTAAAGAAGTCCCACTCAAACTTGGCCTCTACATAACATAATGCAGCAGTATGGAATCCATGACCACCTGAGGTGGCTTTCTGCCCCATGCACGTCACGTAGCGCCTGGGACAAGCTCAACTCCAGTTGTTGCCATCCAGTTCCCAGTGAAATGTAGTTGCTTTGTGTATGAAATTGATAATTGTGCATGTTCTAAGACTTTATTGTTTGTGGAAATCTCTGGTTATTTAGCACCTCAGAGAAACAAATTATATAAATTTTTTCCATGTGGATGATTTTTTTCTTAGGCAGTTCATTGCTTAGCTTTGAGAAAAAAATGTGCTTTTTTTTTCCTTGTGTTCTAGCATGGTTTTACTGTATCTGTCTCTTTCATAACTCTATCTCTGTGCCTTTCACAGACTTTGGATTGAGCAACTGTGCAGGCATCCTGGGTTATTCTGATCCATTCAGCACCCAGTGTGGGAGCCCAGCATATGCAGCCCCTGAACTTCTGGCAAGGAAAAAATACGGGCCCAAAATAGACGTTTGGTCCATGTGAGTTACTTCTCTAGTTTATAATTGTTATTACTGTCATCGTTACCCATTGCTCAAATGAGAAACATTCATTTATTTGGCTACTCTGAGCAAGAAAATATGTTTAATTAGCATGAGACTCTGAACTAAATTGCACAGATATTTTGTTCTGAAATAGATCTTTTAGGTACCTGTATATGGATTGCTAGAACATACAGTGTAGAGAGATTGTAGTAAAGCACAGCTGTTGATCAGTGGTGCTCAAACATAGTAGAAGACACAGCTCTGGCACAAGAGGGCAAACAGCTTTTATTTTGTTTTCCCTGAAGGATCCTCAAGCATTCACGTGGGTTCTGTGCACTGTCCACAGTCAAGTCTGACCGGAAATATGATATCGGGTCAAGTCATCACATAGAAAGCACAGTCATTAAAGGGGAAATAAAAACGGCCAGAAAACTTGTGAGCCTTTGTGAGCGTACTAGTGTTCAGACAAAAGAACAGACAGAAGTCCCTGGTGCCAGAAGTGGAAGAAGCTACAATGATGTTTTGGAGTCAATGAATTTGTCTGCAGTACTGTTGTAGACTGTGCAACTCCCACTACCCTCCTGTTGGCCATGGACATGGTGTTGGTTATCCTTGTCACTCCTGGAGAGGAATTAGCTGAAATCAGTTGAGTTTTAGCTTTTGCTTTAGTATCAGTAGATTTTCTCTCACCAAGTGGGGATAATAACATTTGTATAAATTTCAGTGAAATAACAGAATTATGGTAATTCCCAAGTTGAAGTATTTGGAATGCTTGGAAAATGTGAAGTACTGTATAAGCACTACTACTGTTAAGAAAGACTGGCCAGAATTTATTTATTAGATTAGGACCTGGGTCAAATTCATCTCTCAGCTTGACTCAGTGGGTCCCCTGTTGCACTTCAAGGCTCTGTAGAACTTCCCCTGCTGAAACTTAATTTGCAGTTTGTCCTCTGAGGGGACCCACAGCTAAATCATTGTATGGCTACTGAATTTCTCACTCCAGCCGTGGGCTAGTTGTACACATCAAGGGAGAGAGTACAAGGCCTGAGGAACGCAGGTGTCGTGGTTTTACCCCAGCTGGCAGCTGAGCACCACGCAGCAGCTCGTTCACTCCCTCCCCATCAGGATGGGGAGAGAATTGGAAGAGTTAAAGTGAGAAAACTCGTGGGTTGAGATAAAGACAGTTTAATAGGTAAAGCAAAAGCCACACGCACAAGCAAAGCAAAGCAAGGAATTCATTCACCACTTCCCATGGGCAGGCAGGTGTTCAGCCATCTCCAGGAAAGCAGGGCTCCGTCACGCGTAACAGTTACTTGGGAAGACAAACGCCATTGCTCCAAACTCCGCCGCCCCCCCCTCTCTTCCCCCAAGCTCCTTATAAACTGAGCATGACGTCATATAGTATGGAATATCCCTTTAGTCAGTTTGGGTCACCTGTCCTGTCTGTGTCTCCTCCCAACTTCTTGTCCACCCTCAGCCATCCGGCTGGCAGGGCAGTGCAAGAAGCAGAAAAGGCCTTGGCCCCGTGTAAACACTGCTCAACAATAAGTCCACAGAACAAAAACATCTCTATATTAATCAATGCTGTCTCCAGCACAAATCCAAAACGTATCCCCACACTAGCTACTATGAAGAAAATCAATCCTCTCAGCTGAAACCAGGACAGCAGGCAAACAGAGCACAGTCCTTGCATTGTAAACCATTTAAATTTCTCCAGTAATAATGTCCTGCTCTTTTTCTTAATTAAAAAAAAAAAAAAATACAGTTAACTCTTACACTTCCTCATAGCTGAACAAATTATGCCTGTGGTCACAGTTCGTGATAGCACACCAGTTTAGTTTCTTTCTGTTCACATACATGTATTCAGCAGTCTGGGGAAACAAATTCCCAAAAGGGAAGAATTCCACTGAAATTAAAGCCCTTTTAAGAGGAAAAAGAGAAAAAGAGTGCCCAACCCACTTTTCATCGCTGACTTTGCTGGGCATAAACAAGCAGTAAGTTTTCTGCTCTGAAAAAATGTAATTGTTCACACCTAACCTTTGAGCTGCACCAGAGGCCATGGAGGTGACCTTTGGGCACTGAACCAGGACCAGCGATGTCCCCGTTGGTGCGGACAGCCATTCCATAGCCAAGGGCAGCACCAGGACAAGGCCTCCAAAAGCGGCATGTTTATGCAGCCTGAGGAGAGGCTTAATTGTGGTGTGGCATTTAGCCAAGGAGTTGCCTAAGAGCTGGACTCGGTTCTGTGGCTCCCAGCTTATGCCATGCACATTGTGGGACCCTCCATGAGCAAACCTCTGGGAATACTTACCCAAATCATCGTGTGCAATGGAAGAAAGAGTTTGGTTTATAGCTGTCAGACATTAAAGATGAAGTACAGTCACTAAAACCTAAGCTTAAGTTTTTCCTTGTTCCTAATCATTTTGGTTTCTTTTTCTCTATGTTTTCTTTTAGTGGGGTGAACATGTACGCAATGTTGACTGGAACGTTACCTTTTACCGTGGAGCCATTCAGCTTGAGAGCTTTATACCAGAAAATGGTGGACAAAGAAATGAACCCTTTTCCCACCCAGCTCTCTGCAGGTAATCAAGGGAGTGTGCTGGGACCTCTTCAGATCCAGTCGGTCAGAACCATTGCGTTGAATTCTGGATTGTGAGTCATGCTGCCGACATGGCACGCTAATTGGGAAAAATACTCCCTTTTTTTTTTCATTTTAGCCTCCAGAAGATCTGCGGGAGTTGCTGTAGTATAACTCCTTTTGCTTTGACTTCTGTATTTAAGCTGGAGAAGTGCCAAGTTTTGCTGAATATGAGAGAGGAACAAATCTGAAAATCTGTGAAATTGCTTTTGTAGAGTAGTTGGTCAGTTTTGCATGTTCAGAAGATTTTAGCGTAGGGTATAGATGCATGAACACATTATTTTGGAATAACAAATTCCTGGGCATTAGCATGACTAAGGTTGAGTTATAAGCTACCTCAAATGACCTCACATTTATTATGGAATAATGACATGCACACAGAAAGTTATTTTGGGACAATGGCCTGTGATAACCTTTGTGTATTCACAAAATGCAAAATTGTTGATGTATTAGTATTAGAAATATTAATTCCTGCTTCAAAGCCGTGTCACTAGGCAACAGAATTATTTTTCAGCTTATAGCAAGACCGTTGTCAGCATTTGGAACAAACTCTGTTTTGTAGTTGGGTTTTATTTTTGTACGCTAAATTTGTTGCTGATGGAGAGCTTCTGTTCTCCTTATTACAAGGGACATTCAATAAATTAAAAGATTGCAAATAGAAAAAGGGTAACAGAGCGTACATTTTTACTCAGTACACTAAGGATGGCAACCACTGTCATGGGGGATAAGAGAAAGCCTTTGGAGGTTGTGTCACAAGATGAATTCTCCAAGTACCGATTTACCTGCATACGGAAGAGGTAGGTAGTTAAGGGTTTTCTCACACAGCTTATCTGTGGATCAAGTGGAGTATATTGTTCCTTGTTCACTCAGCATCTGTATGAAGTACACTTTTGCTGCCAGCAGTTCATATTGCTGGCATGTTGTAAAGTGGTAGGTTTACAAGTGAGCTGGGATGCTGCAAGTCTTGCCGTCTATTTGATGCAATTAGAATGTTTGGTATTTCTATTCTGGAGACTTCCCATTAGGGTTCAGTTGCATAAAATGGCTATTTTAATGTTCTAGCACATGCTCTAAAGTCCCACCGTGTAAATTAAAAGAAAGATTATACTGACTGCTTCATGCTGTACCGATCTAGATGCCAAATCCTACATGAATTGCAAAGTTACTCTCAAATTCAGGGACTTGCATGTCATAGTAAACATTTTCCAAGTTTGGCAAAAAATTTACCAAACTTACCTCCCTGAG